TCTTGTTCCTTGGTGTTCCATACTTATGAATGCACTAGGTGTATGTTTCTATATAGTTGTGTGTGCATAAATTGTGGTTTCATTGAATGGATTTTGGTCTCATTTGATAGGTTGTGCTTTCCATTTGATTTGGCTTGACAATCTATACTTATTTGCCATCCATGCCTAGTTTCAATTAATATCACACACACACAAGTTACAAGTCAATCTCCCCATTAATGTACAATTGCTAGTGTCTAGTGAAGTTAAGTTTAGTGGTGAGCTGTAGTACCCCAAGTCCTCCCCTCTATATCTTTCTCTACTTTATTAGTCATTGAATTTTGTTTACTTTAATTTCATTTGCATAATAACTTAATCAATCAATCCAACCAATCTTTGATCACTCGACCTACTAACCCTATATATTATTTCCATTGCAAAGGCACCCATAATCCCTTGGGACGATCCCTACTCACCCTAGCTATATTTTTAGTTAGAGGAAGTAGTGGGTTTTATAAATTTAAAACTTGGCCACATTGCACACTCACACTCTTAGTTCATATCTTTGCAAACTTTTGGTGCAACGCGACGGCAACCCCCAGTAAGGTAAGTTTCAAATTTAAGAATAATATAAAATCATATAACTTCAAATTTTTGCATAATACAAAATCATATAACTCTCATCTAGTGCATCAATAATAGGCAATAATTAATATTCCATAACAGCCCTATTCCTTAATGCTTGAAACTATTTACTATTTTAAAAATTATAATAAATAAACGATCATGTATACAGAATTAAGAGAATTCAGATATAAAAACATATATAGCGTACCGAACAAAGATTTCCATATCAAATCTAGCAAATTAATAAACTTAACAGGTGATGTCGTGACACCAATAGCATCTAAAAAATGCACAAATGAAAATATCACATAAAATGAGTGCAATCATTTTAAAGAAATTTTGTACCATGGAATCAAGTATAGTAATATAGTAATAAGTAACTTGCCTAAGGCTGCAACATAAACCAATTACTATATGGAGATATATACCCAAAGTCATATTACCACAAATGAGATTAATAATACTTTAGAAAGAATCTACACACAAGTATAAGAAATTAAATCAAATTAAGAGAATACAAATAGACTTCGCTTTATTAATTATTATTACATTATTAAGATCATTATCAGTTTTAAACTGTTGTCAAAATTTCACATATTTATAGAAGAATATAAAATACAACATTAATACAACAATGATTCAAAGAAATAAACAATTAATAATACCAATGAATAATCAAGTAACAATTATTTTTTTGAATTAAATAGTTCATCAAATGAGCAACATGAATATAACGATGAATAAGAATTTAACATGATAAATAATTCATATTAATATAATAATAGAAATTAAGAATGAAAACAACAATAATAAAATAGGTAAAAAATTACTGGCCTGATTGTTGAGGAATGTGTAAACACATTGACCTAAAGCTGATAGTCCTCCCCTTCGTGTGGGTATTGGCGAAACTAGTTAGCTCCAAGATATAACCCAATCAGCTCAGAGCAGCCTCTCCTCCATGTGCACGACCACAGGAAGAATAGTTCCAAGTTTATATAAGTATAGTTGATCATAAACTCAATAAGTAAAATACTCTTAAATATAGTATACACATATACATTTATGGAAGAGTATAATAGAGAGATGAAAAACTATTCTTTTAGAGCCTTAATCACACCAAATACATGCATCCATACTTCCCCTTTAGAATGATAAACATATGACCTTTTTATAGTGTAAAGGAGTGTAACGGTTATAACATAAATAGAGAATTTAAATACATAAGTATTTCATCAATATAAATATAATAAACCATTCTGTTAAATAGTATTTAATATAATGTAACTTAATATATAATTTAATATATTTATTAATTTTATTAAAATATTACTCAACACTATGCGATTGATTCGGAGGCATGGATGATTTGCCAAGGCAAATTGCCTTATGACTTGTGGGAACAAAATACCTACATAAAAAGCATGGTTCATATGCTATTAAATTTGTATGGAAAAAAACATACTTATGAAGGCATGGACGATTTGACAAAGCATAAATAAAATGCTATAGGAGTTAGATGGATAAATATACATCTATGAATATTGTGTTTGTAATTTGGAGGAAATAAATATTCTTATATTAGAATAAACTAATAATTAAATGATATTATGTTATTTTATAGTATGAATAAAAGCATACTCGTGGAGGAATGGATGAGTTGCTAAAACATAAATGTTGTTATGTGATTTTTATAAATAAAATCATTGGAGGATATTGGAACTGGAATTATAGAAAAAAATTCCTTAAATTGTTATTTATTATTTAATAGTTAATTAACTTTTTTAAAATAGAATTGGGGTTTAAAGGAGTTTTTCTTAAAAAGGAATTTACTTGATGATTGGTTTAGATATGGTTGTGATTTTTATCATTATTCATAATCTTGGATTTCAGGGAATGTATTAAATAGACTTGACTTTTATATTATATATTTATTTATATATATGTATCATGTTATATTAAAGGTTAAAACATTAATTAGAATGATTTTGGTTAGAGATGTTTAATTTATCGGTTTTCAGAGGCTTGGTAGAGGGAACTTACTCTTGGGTCTAACCCACACACATATGTTTCCATATATATGCTTCTTTTTTTCTTTTCTTTTTTTCTCGCAAAGAAGGGGTGTTTCAAATACGGACACATCTACTCCGGGAGCTAAACGCTCTACCAATTATATCACTAGATAATATACAATTTGTTTGTTTTGTGTATGTTGCCTCTTGTTTGCATGGCTAATTTGCAATTCTTCAACTTTTGTGATCCTACCTAGGGATGGCAATTTGACGCACCACCGCGGTTACTCGCCCCACCCCACCCCCTTTTTGGCGGTTTTGGAGGACCATTATGCTTATTTGGGCGAGGATGGTTTGATGTAATAAAAACCCGTGTGGGTTTGGTGCGGGGGCGAGGGGAGGTCACCCCGCACTGCCCCGCCCCGTTTAGATAGCAAATTACTTAAGTACTCTTATTTAATTAATATATATATTTCCCACTATATAATAAGTACCTTATATAACAATATTAAAGTAACAAATGAATTTCATTAAAAGGAATGTTGCAATGGTGAAGAATTGAAGATGAGGGAAAAAAAACGAGCAAATCTATTTCAACAATAAATAAATTGTGATCTTAAACGGGGCAGGGCGGGTACCCGCGGGGGTAAAAATGTTAAACGGTTATAAGAATGGGTGGAAAGTTCTCCCATTTTTACTGTTTTGTGTGGGAACGAGGACGGGGCTTTTAAATGGTTGAGGGGGCGGGGGAGGGTACACCAGCCCATACCCACCCCCGTTGCCATCCCTAATCCTACCACTATGTGTCCTATTTTATAATGCATGCACTGTTCTCCAATGACCTAAATCCACTCTGGCGCACTTTCGTATGCTATAATTTTCAATTCAATTAAATTCAAAATATAACCGAAGGTTCTGGGGGATATTGTGGAACTTCTCGTAAATACTGTATCATTTAAGTAAGCTGATATTATACATGAAAAATTTTAGAATATCCGAAAAAACTCTGAAATATTGTAGAACTTTTTGTGATTACATAAGTATTTTTGTTAATGTCACATCAACTTTTGATCCTTAATGTAGCATATTGCATCCTCTCTTGATACATATCATGGAGGAATGTTGGATCAACTCATGAAAATATGATCTTTTCCATATATGGTATTTGTGGGAAAGATAAGTACGGCCTTATGGCAACTAAGCTTCAATTTCATTAATTAAGGATATACACAAACATATATATATATATATATATAGATAATTAATTAGCTAGAATACATTGTTTAAAAAGTATCTTAGTCTAACATAGATCCATGTATTTGGTTCAAAGAATATGATAATCTGATTATCAAGAGAGTTTTTGTTTTAAGATGTCTTCTCTTCTCTTCTATTTTTATTTTTATATTTATTTTATTTTTTTTCATTACAAGAATGATATTTTATTCCAAATAAAAAATAAAAAATCAATTAAAGCTGTGAATGATTTTATGTCAAGTGAAATCTTCTCTTTGTTCCAAATTATACAAATATGAGGATTAATTCCAACAAGATAAATAGGCAAGTAAAACAACAACCAATTACGAAGCCCTAACTCATTCGGATCTAATATGAGTCATTTTTAAAATTCAAGGACTAGCTCTAACTCTAGTGCCAACTATAAGAAGTTGGATGTTTCACAGCCCGACCCAAAAACTTAAGCCATTAGGTGGTGCTAACACCCGGCCAACCCATTTGTACGCATTTAACTGTTCTTCCAAATCTAATATGGGACATCTCTAACACAAATCTATATGTATTACTATTATTAAAAGTATAAAGTGTTTCAAATCATTTACTTATATAATTTATTTAATTAATTTAATAAAATAAAATTTAATTAGAGAAGAAAATAATAATAATATAGTAATTGGAAAATATAATTATTGAAATTCAATAAATGAAAATATAATTAGAGAAGGAAGTATATAATATTAAAAATATATATATATTGTTACCAAACCAATTAAAAACATAATTTAACTGTAAAATGTATTTATTATAATGTGTCACCAACACCTTACAAACTTGTTTTTAGCAACAATTTTATGATTTTCTTTCTTTCTTTCTTACAGCAATGCCAAATGGGCTCTAAGCCTATAGTGATTACAATCTTGTAGAAGACCAGGCTCGAACACCTTTCCTCATCTTTGAGGATCGGGAGGTTATATCATTGAGCTAGCCATATGCCCTTTGATTCGAATTGGTATTAATTCTATATCAAAATATAATTAATTTCATTTGTCGTACATCCCTAATATAAATATATGGACTATACATTAATCATTTTGTTTTGTCAAATTATTTTGTTCATAGCATGCATTAACATTAAGTACTCTTCTTCTCATATAAAAGTTAAATTACGTATACTAAATGGTCGATTTTATTGAAAAACTAAGTAGTAATACAAGGAGAACTTTGAGACATAAAACATACAGACATACATACATTCATACATACATATACTCATGCATATGCATATAGATTAAAGGGCTAGTCCAATACACAAAGTTCTTGTCATTAAGAAACTTGACGAAGGTCCAATAAATGCAATCTTACCTTCACATGGAGCAACCTCAACATTTCACCAAAACACATGCATAAATGAAAACCCAAATATGAGGCATATTTATTTCAAACTCGATCACTTATCTTTCTTAAGCATGCTTGGATAAGTTGATTGATTGTAGGTCTTCAATTAATTTTTCTAAGTTGCAATAAGATGACCCACCTTCGTTGATACTATCACGAGCCTTTCTTGCAAAGTCAGCCGTTGATTCTGTGATCTCTCTTTTTCCCTCCATCAGATCCCTCACCATTTTCTCAACCGTCGATCTATCACAAGTGTCTTTCATATCAAGCCCAATCCTCCACACCTCACTCACACACCTACTATTCACTGTTTGGTCAGCCAATTGTGGCCAACAAATCATTGGAACACCAGCTAAAATACTCTCCAACGTTGAGTTCCACCCACTATGGGTCAAAAACCCACCCACGGATCGATGGGCCAAGACCTCCTCTTGTGGGGCCCAACCCACTATGTACCCTCTTTCTTTAGTCCCCACCACAAGCTCCGTTGGAATCTCACCCACTGTATCCTCACCCAAAAGCAATCCCTTTCTCATAACCCACAAGAATGGCTTCTCACTATTAACTAAACCATGCCAAAACTCCATCAGTTGGCCATGAGTCAACATGGCCACACTTCCAAAGCTAACATAAATCACTGATTTGGCTGCCTGAGATTTGAGCCAGGTCAAGCAAGTCATGTCCTGTTGGGTCAGACTTCCGTTTGATGAAGAATCAGACGGTGGACAATGATTTAATTTGATTCGTGACTCGAAAAGGGCATGAAGTGGGCCAATGGGGTAGACTTTAGGGAAGATAGAGAGGAATCTGGATATGATGGGTGATTCAAGTTCTTCAAAAGTGTTGAGTATGAGAGCTGAAGCTCGTTTCGTGGTTGAGGTTTGTCTGATGAAGAATTGCAAATGTGGGTCATCCACTTCTTTCAATCTGCAAATGCCCGGAAGGTCTCTACGTCGCAAGACGCCTTCAAATCCGGGAACCGAATCGATAGCCCCATCCATGTCAACATCTCCTAATAAGATTGGAAAATGCAATCAATGAGTCAAGCAAATAGACGATGAAGCAATCATGACATCATAAATATTAATGGCAGCATGATGGAACAGAAATAAATTTTTTACATCATTAATTATATTTTTAAAAATTCCCTACTCAATTTGTAAAAAAATATTTCACTTAACATTCTTGCTAGTTGCTCCTACTATTTTTTTTTTTTATCCAAAAAATAATTGCCTCTCATTTTCACTCTATATCACCTTCTAATATTTGTGATAATCAATACTCTCTCACACACTCATAATCCCACTCATTTTTTTAAAATACCCACTAAATATGATATTTGTATTTTAAAAAAAAATAAATAAAGTAAATTAGCTCTCTTGCTGGACATAATTAAAAGTTCAAAATATCTGGGTCTCACACCAACACAAGTTGGGACCTGGCCGAGCATGTGCGGATAAGTCACAAAAATTAAATTCTCATATTAATTTGTTATTTCATTTCTAATTTATTTATCACCAAATGTTTTTTATTCTTCAAGGAAGCCCCTCCCAAAAATAAAAACATAAAAATTTTTGAGTCGGTCACTAATGAGGTCAGCTTTGACTCGCATAAATTAATCGAAATTGTATAACTTTTGGACTTTAAATCATTATTCACGGTGTGTATATATATATATATATGCGTGCGATTGTTACTCTCTTAATTATTTAATGTGTGTATATAGTCCAACAATTTCACGTGGAGGAAAAAGAAAAATATTTGGCCAATGATAAACTAATAATAGCTTTCTGTCACCTTTGAAGGGAATGTGTCCTTCTTGAATGAGCTTTTCAATATGGAAGTAAACCCAAGTGCAGGAAGCATTGTAGGTCCGAAAAGTGATCACCGGAATGTGGAGCTCCTCTGCAACATCAATGGCGAAAGACATGATTCCATCTGATATGACGCATGTCGGAGGCGAGCAGTACGGCACGCCATTTTCTTGGCCTAGCGAAACGATTAGGTCCTTGAACTTGGCCTTGGAAGCAGACTCAATAGAGTAGAACAAGTCGAGGATATGCAGACCAGAGCGTGGATGTTCAGGTGGAAGTCCATCAGGGATGGCCTCAAAACGGAGTGTAGGAAAGTGGCTATTGAAGGTGGTTTGGTTGATGGAGTTGATGATATGATTGTGATTGTGATCTGTGTTTACAAAGGTGACATTGAAATTGGCATGGCAAAGAAGCTTTGCTAGCATTAGCATGGGCTTGATGTGGCCCTGTGCAGGGAAAGGCAAGATCACTACGTGGGGCCGAGGAACATCCATGTCTCAAGCCCGGATTTCCTGCTCTATGGTGCTTAATTGAGTTGGGAGTTTTAGGAAGATACTGTACACACACACACATATATATATAGTATTCATCATCATCAACATAGTGTACAGTTAAGTGTACGTAACTACTGATCATCGCATTGAAGACTGAAATAGTGTGATTTTTTTATCTGATTTACTGGTTTAGTTAGGGTAAAGTGCATTAAACCACCTGAACTTTCTTCTCTCTCTCACAAAACCCCCTTGAACTATGACAAAGACACTTAACTCCCTAAACTATTCCATTTGTTGCAAATGTTAACTCACCGTTATAAATTTAACAGAAATAGGAGCACTTAAGTCACGTGAGGGCTCAAAAAATTTAAAAGGACAAAATTAGCCCTTATGACACAACTAAGATAAAACACTTCCTTCGCCGGAGTGAATTTGAGTCTTTGCCGTTTGTCCCCTCAGCCACATATCCCTCCTCCCACCTGCAAACCTAAAAACTTAAAAACTAATTTATCTCATATGGTCTTTGTTATGTAAAACACCACCTTCTTTCATTTCTTCACGCATCAGATCCATCCCCAAGTTCCATAGGTGGATTTGCATTCTTGCTCCAAGGACTGGGTTGAGTTTGCATCATCTTGACCTGCAGTTCCTGATACATCTTCAGATTCCCAGAACACTGTTGTTCAATCTCCGGCGCCGAACTTCTCCGATGAAAATCCGGTGAGTAGTCAGTTTTCTGGTGAGGATAATGTAACCGAAGTTATACGCCGACCGCCCTCTCCGTAGCCAGCCGAATCTGTTTCCACAGCCTTAGACTTTTTGGCGCGGAACTTGTCCCGAGAAAAGCCAGCGAGTAGACAGTTTTCCAGTGGATCTACAATTTTCGGCCATATCAGAACACCATCTCCAGCTCCGAATCATCATGTCGAAGCCAAAGGGGATGTTGGAAAGAAAGCTGTGACCAATGATACGCGCCGACATCCGCCTCCGTCGCTAGTGGAATCTGCTTCCATGCATCCACTCAAACTCTTCAGCGCCGAGATTCTCCGGTAAAAAGCCGGTGAGTAGTCAGTTTTCCGACCGTGTAGGAACACCATCTCCAGCTTCGAATCATCACGGCGAAGCCAAAGGGGATGTTGGAAAGAAAGCTGTGACCAATGATACGCGCCAACATTCGCCTCCGTCGCCGGTGGAATCTGCTTCCATGCACCCACTCAAACTCTTCAGTGCCGAGATTCTCCGGTAAAAAGGCGATGAGTAGTCAGTTTTCCGGTCGTGTAGGAACACCATCTTCGACTTCAAATCATCACGGCGAAGCCAAAGGGCATATTGGAAAAGATGCTGTGACCAACGATACACTCCGACATGGGTCTCCATCGCCGGTGGAATCTGCTTTCACCCACTTAACTCTCCAGCACTGAGCTTCTCCAGTGGACCTTCAGATTTCAGACATATCGGAACACCATCTCCGGCTCCGATTCATAACAGCAAAGCCAAATGGGACGTTGAAGAGAATGCCGTAGCCAACAATACACTCCCACCACCGTCGCCGTCGCTGGTTGAATTCGATTCCAACGATCTGAACGTTTTGCCGGCATCTTCACCGGTTTGCTCAGATGACGTCGTTTCATCTCTCTCACTCAAGGGTGAGGGTGAAAATTTATTCTGTCCTCTAACCATACCTACAAAAGTCAAGAGTGGAGCTTCACCCACGACCTTTGCTGCCACCACCCAACACCCACAACCTTCGCTGATGGAAATTGTTCCTCCTCTCTCTCTATGTTTTTTTTTTTTTTTTTTACTCATTGGCCTTCAACTCCGGCAGAAAATCATTCAACAGGGGTAAGGCTAAAAGGTAATTTGAATTTTCAGTTAACAGCTAGTTAACGGTTCGTCAATGAGTGCAACAAAATGATAGTTTAGGGGGTTTTACTTACTTCAGGAGGGTTTTTTGCAGTTGGGTCATAGTACAGGGGGGTTTAATACACTTTACACGGTTCAGTTATTTAAGTCTAGTGTCTCATAAAATATTAAATGTTAATTTATTAGGCGAGAAAAAATGATCTTGGTGGGTTTCGAATACGAGAGAAAGACCCCAAACAATACACACTTTATCGCTAGAGTAACACTACAACTACTAATGTATTAATAATTTAAATTATTGAATTTTTTTTTTTTTTTTTTAGTTAGCACCAGGAACTCCCCTAGGCAGGGCCCCTTCAGGACCCACCCTAGGTTACAAACCTGGGGGTGTAGAGCCTCACCCTAAGGATATACCGGGTGAGTTGGAGGACATGGATGGCTTGGGAGGAGTCAAACACTGGCCGAGTGGGTGCAAGTGCCAAACTCCTACCATCACAGCCAAACCCCCGGGGGCAATTTAAAATTATTGATTGTTGCACTATGGATTAATAAAAATACAAACTAACCATGGTACATCATAAATGCTCCATTCCATGTTAGTTAAACCTGTCATAGGAGAGATGTATCTTCTTTACTTTTAAAAGTAGTTGAGACTTCATGAAAACAAAATGGTACGGTTGTTGGAACCAATATATTAAAACGGGGAATATCAAGACTTAGAGGCGCGTAATCGCTTCTTGAAAATAGTTGAAGCCTCTCCCACGTGCAACGGAAGACAAATGGCAGCACTATCTCTGGGATTCAACTAAGCCCAGATATCAAAACTGTATGTTCATGAAGGTTGCACTTCTTCTTCATGAACCTGTATATTTATCTCCGTCCGATCAACAGAAAATATGAAACTCACACACTCAAACTCAATAGTTTGAAAACATTTTTTTTTTTTCAAATCTCTTTTTCTCTCTTACTTGTATTGAGAGTGTGTCTTTTTTGTAGGCTTCGTAGGTCTCCTATTTATACTAGTAGAAGTAGGGATGTAGTTAACATAACATTAATGGACCTATACTTAATATGTTCATAAATAACATATTAACTAAACTATTTTAATACATCAGTGTAGAAAAGTTTAAATCTTTACTAAAACTTCTTTAAGAATCAGTTGGAGTTTTAGTAATTAATAACAATAAATTTGAAACACATAACTCCAACAATCCCCCACTTGTTTTAAATTCATTTTGTTGATCAGTACAGTCATGTGCATCAATAATGGTGTCTTTTGGACTTGAACCATTACCTAGTGTAAGTACCCTTGATTTCATCTAGGAACTTGGTGAACGATGTCTTGAACCAAGAACCACGTTGATGAATAAGAAATATTACATACACATTTCTGTTCAGAGATAAAGTACTAAAGCTTGACACGTTTTAGCCATGTGTCCGAAATCCATACTTCTGAGTATCGTTAAGGATCAAGCCTATCTAGATCCTATAAAAGCGGCCCTACTTCCACACTCAGATCGGTGTGTCCATCAAGAGTGACCTTGCACTGTAATACCTCCTAATTTCGAAACACGGTTGATCAAGTCCGCACACAAAATTAGGGGATATCAAAACAATTAAAGTATTTAACAAGCACAGAGTACAAAATGAAATAAAAAAATAAATAATACGCTGAAGAAAAACTAATAAATAAAAAAATTCCATTAATAACTCTCCAATAGTTACAACTCGGGAATCCCGTAATTTAAGGACCCGTTAACCAAAATCCACTATCCATAAATCCGTTAATAATCATTAAAATAATAATATCCTACTTTGAAATAAAATAGAAAGAATAGATAAGTCCTCCAGTTGCGTATCCTCAACCTTTAGACTTGAATTTCTACTAACCTGAAAAATAAATCGTAGGTTAAACCCTACGAGCAAGCTCTCTCTACCAGGCCTCTGAAAACCAATAAGCAGATCATCTCTGATCAAAACCAAATCTAATAAAGTCTTTTATCTTTAATATACATATATATAATTTATTATATACAATATATCAACAACATCTATAACTAGGCACATTAATTCCCAAAACCATTATGAATGATTAAATAATAATCATACCTAGTCCAATCCATAATTTCTTTTTAAAGAAACTCTTCTAACCTTAATTCCATCCTAGACAACAATTTAATAATTTAAACAATAAAATATAATTAAAAGAATATTATATTAAATTCCAAAACCAATACTGATTTTTAAGTTTTTTTCAAATCGCACAGCCACTATCTAGGCTTTGACAAATCATCCATGTCACTGTCAGTATTATTTTATTAATATATATAAAAATATACACTAACATGTAAGTACTAGACTATTCTAATTTAAGAATATCGAATCCTAATCCAACTTATCCATACAATAATCATAAATGATATATTTTAATCATCTAACGCATAGCAATATAATTACACTTTAACAAATCAACCATGCCATTATAAATATATTTATTTATATATTGGCAACTCAACCATGCCTCCTTAAGTATATATATTTATACTTTTAATTAGCAACTCATCAATGCTTCCTATGTATGTGTTTTATTCATACAAATATTTAGGCCATATATTTAACCCTTTGACAACTCATCCATGCCTACAATTCAACCATGTACCAACTTTAAACTTAACGATGAACTAAATCACACATAGACATCTCATGTATTTCATAAGCATAACATTACTTTAAAAACCAGCCTATCCAGATATACCAAATAAGAATAATTTTTGATTATTTAAATCATATATATGTATATATACACACATCCCTCCATCCTTATCCTAAATAATTAAACCATATATACACATATAAAAATAATTATATATATATATATATATATATATATATATATATATACTTCCTTCCCTAATAATATATTAATTTAATTATATTTGCCCAATTTAAATGTTACTAAATCGTGTCAGAAATAGTTTCCCATAAATACTCCATCTCAGTAAATAATTTTTCGACACCGTTTCACTAAAACATAAATATCTCCTAGTATGATAGGAATCCGATAATGAAATTAGTACCATCGGAAAGAGGACGAAAAATTCTTGAATTTGAGCTCAAGAATGACCTAATTTCGATTTAAAATGAATGAGTTATGACCGTTTCAAGTCAAAGTAACAAAACAAGCAAAATAATTGGCTGAGCTAAATCGC